TCGTTCTTTCTTTCTTTCTTTCTTTCTTTCTTTCTTTCTTTCTCTCTTTTGCTTTTATATCATTTTAATTACATGCAAGTATTAAGGTTAGTTCTAGGTTGAGAAACTAGCAATACAATAGATGCACATAGTCAAGGAACAAGGAAGACAATAAACACAAATAGACAAAGAACACACACACGACAATAAGCAAAGTCCTGTGATCACTCCTGTGATCAGTGTTTCTAAGGGCTTATCAGGATGACCAAAATATCTGAGCCTACTCCCCTGTCCTAGCCCAAAGTCATTTTCATGTCTGAAGCCTACTTCTTTGTTCTAGCCTAAAATTTAGATTCCTGCCTGAAATTACTTCTTTGTTCTAGCCTAAGATTTAGATTCCTGCCTGAAATTATGACATAATTTTCAACTCAACAAATGACAGACCAAATGAGCAAACATATGTTAGATCTCTTTAGAACTTTTGATAGGCTAGCTACAGGAAGATAATTTTTGCATGCATACACTGTAAAAGGTTCTGCGGTTTATCATGAATTTCCATATTTCTCTTTAAATTCCTTTCTGCCCATCTTTCCAGCATCCCATCTCTATTTTCCCACAGAAAGCCACACACCTCTGGAGTCTCTTGAAACTTGAAAGCCTCTGGGAGATGTATAGATAGTCAGCATTCATCCTGTGTATCTTTCAGCCTCACATCTAGAGAAGCGAATCTTAGCCTAAAGCGTGTCTGTTTATGAACACATTCTGGTGACTGCTGTGATAATGGAATTGCTGATATGCTGCTCAGAGGGCTTGAGTAACCGTTCTTTTGTTATTAGGAAGGCAAATGCAGTTTTTAAGATCAAAGTGGACACCTCCTGGAAGTTACATTTATTACAAAGGGCTAAAGTGTCTGCATTCCCAGGCATCAAAGGGACTTAACACAGAAAGACGGTAATATTCAATAGACGTGGGCAATTTCTGACAGGATAGCCACCTAAGTGGTTGATTGGGACGAGTGGTAATCTCATTCTGAAAGTTACCGATCCTGTCAGAGCCAGGGTTAGGCAAAGTGCTTGATATTGTGGTGGCCACAGCTGGGGTCGTCCTGACAAAAAATTCCACTGTCAGTGCAGGCACTGACAACACGTTTACAATTTCCAGCTTTAGTGTGCCCTTTGGCAGAAGCCTGATTCCATTGCTTCTGAAAGCAGGGCCTCATTTTGCTGTCACAGTGGAAGTGAAGTAAAAGGTCAACACAGTGAGTCACTATTACAGTATTTGGAATGCCATCATAGGGATGAATTCCAGCCCTTCAGACATGGTGACCTGGATAGTAGCAATTGCACTGTGGAATGCCTGCTGTCAACTGACATCAAAGAAAACTTCTGTGGGGTTTGGGGCTCCTCTGTATGCATATTCTGTGTTGGCTAGTTTTTATGTCAACTTGACACAGTGTAAGGTCATGTGGGAAGAAAAAAATCGTAATCAAGAAAATTCTTTTATAGGACTGGTCTGTAGGTAAGCGTGTAGGACATTTTCTTGGTTAGTGACTCATGTGGGAGGGCTAAGCCCCCTGAGAGTGGTGCCACCCCTGGGCAGGTGGTCTTCCATGCTATATAAAAGAAGGCTCATGCAGTGGAGAGCACACCAGCAAGCAGCTGTCCTTGAGTTTCTATTGCTGTTATGAAACACCATGACCCAAAGCAAACTGGGAGGAAAGGGTTTTTTGGCTTACACTTCTGCATCACTGTTGACCATAGAAGGAAGTCAGGGTAGGAACTGAAACACAGCAGGAAGCTGGAGGCAGGAGCTAATGTAGTGATCATGTAGGAATGTTGCTTAGTGGTTTGCTCCTCATGGTTTACTCTGCCTGCTTTCTCATAAACCCCAGGATGACTAGCCCACGATGGTACCACTTACTATAGGGTGGACCCTACCGCTTACTATGGGCTAGGCTCTCCCACAAGCTTGCCCACAATCCAGCTTTCAACCGAGGTTCCCTCCTTTCAGATGCTTATAGCTTGTGTCAAATCAATATAAAAACTATCAACATAGGCATGCTCTTTCATGACCTGGTCATCCCTTCCTGTTTCCAGGTTCCTGCCTTGAATTCTGAGTTGACTTCATGATGGACTACAAGCTGTAAGATAAAAGAAATCCCTTTCCTCCCCAAGTCGTTTTTGGTCATGGTATTTTCTCATAATAGAAATCCTAACTAAGACATATCTTTCCTCCACTCTTTTATAAAACATATTTCAAACAATTTTTTACTTTCATTTATATCTTAGTTTTATTCTTAAAATTAAAAAAATTGATAAATAGAAATGGTGCGTATTGGTGGCTTAGAACACGCTCTGAAATACACATGCGCACAACTGAGAAAGGGTTTACGTCACGCTTGTTCACTTAAGTACCAACTCACCACTTAACCTACTTTCAGTGCCTTTGGCAAAGCCTTCCAGTGGCTACCTTCAGGGATATCTGAGAAGCTGCTCTCAGTTGGGTCTGCTTCTAATATTTTTGAGAAAGTCCTTTGAATAGATCCCTATACATTTTTATAAAGTTCTGAATATTTATGACCTTTGGTCAGAGCATGTGGGAGAGCTAGAAAGGTCCTTTATTATTTCTTTTCAACCACTTTCCAGACATTTGAGAGGTTGAAATCTAAGTCTAAGAAGTGCTGCATAGTAAATGAATATGTTTCGTTGGACAAAAGAGATGACATTCTGCTGTTTTATCTAGTCAACTTCTTAAATGCCCTTCTCTTACCGAAGGCTGGAGGAAACGTTTTCCTGGGAAACTACTAAATGTTTATTAGTATTCATATGGTTAGTGTGACCAAAGTTATGTTAGTACTTGGTAACTTTGCTACTGTAATTTTTTATGGTGTCTATTACTGAAAAAGTATCGATTTTAATGCATCTTGGATTCGTACAGAATGGGCAAAGCTCTGATTACGGATATTTGATGCATACTAAACAATTACACCACAGTTTTAAAAGATTTTAGTGTGCTCTAAGGATATAGGCTGGAGTAGCTGAAATAGACACTGGGCAATCTTTGTGCTTAACTCTTGGGACCACGTCGCTGTTTACCATCAGTGGTCCTGCTAGTTGTCAAATTGAGCCTTCTTTCATCTTTCTTGAAATTTACATCTTGAAATGTAAAATTCTCACTTCCACAGTCAACAACAACAACAGCCTTTAGCTTTGTAGAAATTAGTCAATGTATCATCATAAATTTACCTCTTACAAGCACTTAAATTAGGAGAAAGGTTATTGATTGTTTTCATTGGATTTGCCTTTCAATGGAATTTTCCAATTTTGAGTCACGGAAGTTCTTATTTGCAAGCCCTGGATTTCATTGAAAAACAAAACAAAAGACAGTTTCAAACAGGGTATAGATTAGAGGCTCAAGACATGATTCCTTCTTCATACTCATTCTCGATAAAAAACCAAACTGTTAATTCCAATAGTCTTTTAGGGGAGACTATCTAAAGTGGAGCATGCAATCTTTTTGTATTTTTTATTTAAAGGATCTGCATATCTGATTCTTTTCATTTACACACACATTCCCTTCTGCTTAGCAGCATTTAAGATGGTGATTTGTGTATTTAGCATAGCATGTAATTTTAATCTTCTATAGCTTATAGGTCTGACCTTTCTATGGTGTTTTGCATACTGTTACCACCTGTCTTATTACATTTCATCAGAGATAATTGTCCTCAGGGGTCCTGAGTTTGACATGCTAGAAAGATCACCTGTTTTTCGCCCTCTCTCCCTTCATCCCTCCCTCAGCTGCTACTCACTCAAAAGGGTCGCTGGGATCAGCCCTCTGGAGCTCTGGAGGGATGGGGATTCTTTTGTAGTACATCTCCCAGTCGAAGGCTCCTCGCATGGCATCCCCGGCTTGTGCCTCGTACCCAAAGTGATTGTGGTCAATGACATCGATCATGGGACACACGATGGTTTTGTGGTTTAGTGCAATTTGGTCTGAAAAATGAAAGCACAAAATAGGAAATGACATGCCTGCCTAGGTCATCTATCATTTTCCAGCAAAGAGCAGCCTACAGCTCCTTTTAATGCATAACACTTGCAGCCGTGGCGTCTCCCCGTCGTCATTAGAGCACTTTGCAGGAATCGCCGAGCGTCAGCCTTAACATGATGGGACAGTGATTAGGTACAATTAGACTTGTTATATTTCCCTTTAAGAAAGTTATGTCCCAGAGAGACTTGCAGAAGTCCATTTAGCTCGACTCTGTCACATTTTTGCTCTGACCTGTCCCCAATCTGTCATTTTAACGTGCCTCCAACATGCACAGAGTATAAACAGTACTTGTGTTCCTCCAAGCATACAGCTAAAGCCTGCTGAGAAAATACTGGCCTGCTTTCTGAAGGTTCCAAAATGTAAATATTTAAACTTCATGGTTTTTATAGCATCTAATCATAAAACAGTCATGATGGCTGCTCCCACCTCCTCCCACTAATGACAACAGATCACATATAAAATTCTTTGCTGTCAAGTTTGAAGGAGAACTTCTTGAGTCACTCTTCTTTAAGACTGACTCTATTTATCGAGACTGTACACATTTTATCTTCTCCCCATCAAATTAAAAAACACCATTAGATGACACAATACTGTTGCTAGGATGCTGCTGTAAAATCCCCAAGCAGTTACAGCATGACTCATTTTCATGCTCTTTCTAATACTTCTCCTATCCCTGAAAAATGGCTGTTGTCATCCTATTTAAACGTAGGGAAACGGAGCTCAAAGAAGTCAGCTTGTCAGGGACAACTTAGCTTTGTGGAATAATAATCAGGACACAACCCCTGCTTAACTCCCGTTCCAAAACCTGCTTCTTTAGGTTTCCATGGTGCTTGTCCTGTAGACAGGAGTCTCTTTCCTCTGGTCCCCCCACCAGCTCCCTGTTCTAGCACCTTGCTTTTCTATCCAGATACTTTTACTGGGATAGAATTTACAGGCTCTGCAGGAAACTGGCATTTGTTTATTTTGGTACATGTAGAATAGCAATATGTGAGTATCTTTTTTTCCCCTATCAAGAATGTGCATTTAATCAATTTATTACAACACTGCTGTCTGACAGGCAGGATGTTTAAGTATGAACACCTGCTCTCTTGTTATTTGGAAGACCTTTGGATGTGGCATGTGACATTAAACAAAAGATATCATTTAGAAATATTATGGGAATTGGTTATATCTGTGTATTTTTTCCCTCAGAGATCCTGAAGCCAATGTAATGTATGTGAGGTCAACTTTTACAGTGAGGATACTGTGCATTTACTTTGGATGTTTTTACTTAGCACAGGGCAGGAAGCAAAAGGTTTTATTGGCTACCATAAAAGGTGATATTTTATCACACGGATAAAACACTATGTGGAAAGAAAAAAATCCCATAGGGTATTTCCCTTGCTTTTACACATGCTCATTCATTCATTCATTCATTCCTTCATTCATTCATTTTTGTTATAGTAATTATCTACTGAATCATAATAATGGGCAAATTACTTGTTCTAGGTTGTGAGGCTACTGTAGAGACCAATTCCACAAACACCACTGTAGTTAGGAATGGATATATATATATATATAT